CTGGTTTCAGGAATTCCTCTTTGTCAATTTGGTCAATTCGTGTTAGTATTTTGTAAGGTGCTGTAGGTATTGTGGTGTGGGAATAGTGGTGTTGTATTGTGGTGTTGATGTGTTGTTGTATTGTGGTGGTGTTGTATTGTGGTGGTGTTGATGTGGTGGTGTTGATGTGGTGTTGTATTGTGGTGTTGATGTGGTGTTGTATTGTGGTGGTGTTGTATTGTGGTGTTGTTGATGTGGTGTTGTATTGTGGTGTTGATGTGGTGTTGTATTGTGGTGGTGTTGATGTGGTGTTGTTGATGTGGTGTTGTATTGTGGTGTTGATGTGGTGTTGTATTGTGGTGGTGTTGATGTGGTGTTGATGTGGTGTTGTATTGTGGTGGTGTTGTATTGTGGTGTTGATGTGGTGTTGTATTGAGGTGGTGTTGATGTGGTGGTGTTGATGTGGTGTTGTATTGTGGTGGTGTTGATGTGGTGGTGTTGATGTGGTGTTGATGTGGTGTTGTATTGTGGTGGTGTTGATGTGGTGTTGATGTGGTGTTGTATTGTGGTGGTGTTGTATTGTGATGTTGATGTGGTGTTGTATTGTGGTGTTGATGTGGTGTTGTATTGTGGTGTTGATGTGGTGTTGATGTGGTGCAGGTATTGTGGTGGTTTTCATGTGGTGTTGTATTGTGGTGGTGTTGATGTGGTGCAGGTATTGTGGTGGTGTTGATGTGGTGCAGGTATTGTGGTGGTGTTGATGTGGTGCAGGCATTGTGGCATTGGTATAGTGGTTTTGATCGTGTTTTATATGTATGATAGTGTTGATGATATGGTGTTGGTGTAGTGATGTTTTTTACGTTTTAATTGTATAAAATGGCATTGTTGATGTGAAGGTATAATGATGTTGTGTAGGTGTGATGGTCTTGATGATGTGGCATAGTCATGTTGGTGTTGTTGATGTGCTATGTGGCTCTGTGCTCGTGATGCTGGATTGAACATGACAAAACAACCCCCCCCCCTTCCCCCTCCTCACCATACCTTAGAATAGTAATAACGACATCTTCAATATTTACAGTCACTATGAAAGATAGAAGTATGCATCCGAGGACCGGGCCGCCGGGATGCTAAGCCCCGAAATCATCATCTCAAGAAAGCATATTCTCAGTCAAACAATAAAACATATCTTGGTTGCACGTGGCATCTAAACCGTGTGACTGAATGAAATGCATTTAATTGTACTGATCACCTAGAGTGAATGGTGATGTCTTTCACCATTCTACATCACCATGAATGTAGACGTGGGAGCCGGTCGGCCGAGCGGACAGCACACTGGACTTGTGATCCTGTGGTCCCGCGTTCGATCCCGGGCGCCGGCGAGAAACAATAGGCAGAGTTTCTTTCACCCTATGCCCCTGTTACCTAGCAGTGAAATAGGTACCTGGGTGTTAGTCAGCTGTCACGGGCTGCTTCCTGAGGGTGGAGGCCTGGTCGAGGACCGGGCCGCGGGGACACTAAAGCCCCGAAATAATCTCAAGATAACATTTTAAATGTATTGAGAAAAAAGGGTTTACGGATAGCTTATGTTAATTACGCTCTATCGAACACTTTACATGCTATCTTATTAGTAAAACTAATTAAAGTAATTCGCTCTTAAGTGTTCTTAAGCAGTAGCTTAAGAATGTTCCATGATTTGTCTCCCTTCGTAAAAATCGGCACCACGTTAGCAACCCTCCACGATACAAGAACTTTTCCCGACTGTAATCATTTAGTAAATTTTGCAAGAAAAAGACTCGCTAAGCTCATCTCTACTATTCGTTGCATATTAGAGGATAGTGAACAAAATTTGCCGATATATTTTCGATAGCAGCTGATATTGTACACAACGGGGTGATATAATTAGGAAAGGAGCTCAAGTGGACATTATTGGCGGGATAATTTTATCTTTACTGTGGCTCAAACACGTTTTTAAATACATAATTTCTCCAATTAATTTTTTTTAATAAAATGAGAGAGGGTTATGACAAATTCGTAATAGACAGTATTATTAGATTATGAGCCATATATATATAATATAATATAATACTATTTTGTACTCTGTTATTGACTGTTCTTTACATTCTCTTCATTCTCATGTTCCTCTGTCAAGAGCTGTTCATATCAATATTCTCTCCCTCCTTATTCTTTCACTTCCATCGGTTTTTCCATCACCCCTTCTTCCATCTCTTCTATTTTTCCACTTTTCACTGTTACTCTCTGCTCGTCTTCCTCTCTCCTTATCTTCCTGTTTCTTCTCTTTGTGTATCTTGTTTCTGCAGCCTCTTCCTCTCTCTCCTTATCTTCCCTCTGCTGCATCCTCCTCTCTCTTTATCTACCTCCAGGATCCTCCTCTCTCTTTATCTACCTCCAAGATTCTCCTCGCTCTTTATCTAACTTCTGCAGCATCCTCCTCTCTCCCAATCTATCTCCTGCATCCTTCTCCTGTCTCCTTCTCCTGTCTCCTTATCTAACTCCTGGTCTCTTGGTGATGGGGGTGGGGGAAGCTGGGAGGGGTGGCGAGGTTCCATATACGTTATATAACATAATAATATATAATCCTCCTTATCTATCTCCACCCCTCCCCCCCCCCCCTCTTGTCCGGCCACAGTCATTTAAAATCAAATTCTTGTTTCGGATTTTGTTGTAAATTACATGACCTCACAATTCATGTATAATAAATCTGGAGAAGCTCGACATGATTGCTGACCAGACCACACACTAGAAATTGAAGGGACGACGACGTTTCGGTCCGTCCTGGACCATTCTCAAGTCGATTGTGAGATATACTTCAGCCACGTTATTGTGACTCATCGCCTCGACATGATTATTACTGTGAGCTAATTACTAATGTTCCCTCTACGAGTCTAATTAGAAAAAAAAACAAGGAATTCTTAATTATAAACTTCTGGTGGAGATAGTGATTTACTTTTCCTTTGATATGTTCTTGGGCAGGATTTAGTTTTTTTTTTTTAATTTATTGTCGAGGAAGTTTTTGTTTGCAATTTTGTCAGGTATCTATGCATGGTTGTGTGTCTCATTTGTCGTCTGGGAATTATAAATAGATTTTCTCCTTGGGAAACTTGGAATAATTTTACAATAACATTAAAAAAAGCCCTCGAATGGTAAAGAAAAAATTTGTTAAAACAACATTAAAATACAACATAAATACAATTAAAAAATAAATACATATCCAGATGAAACAAAATACTGAAAGAATTATTACCAATGACAATGAACGATCCCAAGATTCGCTATAAACCCGCCAAACACACACCGAAACTACGACGTTGGTACAACGTTCGAACAAGTTTTAACACCTCCTAACCAGTTATAACAACCAATATAGCAGGTTGTAACAACGTTCTAATACGTCATAAACACGTTAAGCCAAGATATAACAACTTTATTACAAGTTGTAACAAGCGGAAAATAGAGACAGTCTCGGTTTGTGTTTCCAGGGAATGAAGTCCAACCGACCGACACTCTATCACGAGTCAACCAAGCAAGGAGAACAAGTGCAAATATAAGCAATTGGTAAGTGGGACGCGGACTTCAGAAGCAAACTATCAGGGACGAGGAGATCACAGCCACTTAAGCTGGTGACACAGAGTAAGAAAACAAGCGTCTTATGGTCTCACACCGTCTTTAAACACACGTTGTTGTTTTTAGATTTAGCTTCTCTGAACGAAATGTCCATGTAGCACGGGCTATGGTGAGCCCGTAATTAAAACACGCCTCATGGTTGTACAAGTACCAGTACCGTTGCCGGTGGGCTGAGCCGGTGGCTGAGCGGACAGAACACTGGACGCGTGATCCTGTGGTCCCGGGTTCGATCCCGGGCGCCGGAGAGAAACAATGAACAGAGTTTCACCCTGATGCCCCTGTTACCTAGCAGTAAAATAGGTACCTGGGAGTTAGTCAGCTGTCACGGGCTGCTTCCTGGGGGTAGAGGCCTGGTCGGGGACCGGGCCGCGGGGACACTAAGCCCCGAAATCATATCAAGATAACCTATCAAGATAACCGTGGTGAGGAGTGACCTTCCTACTTCTCACTTCGCCAGTAAGATGTAAGTAACTGAGCCAAATCGTTCTCTCACTAACTTACCTTTCCTTCCCAATTCCCATTTTTTGTGTAATATTACAACAAATAAAATACAAAAAAAAATCTACCAAAAGCGAATGTTAGCAAGGCCTAGGATACGCTATTAAGTTCGAATATCCTGAAAGGATCAACACTTATTTTGATCTTACCAGCAAACCTGTTACGGGCTATTCATGCCCGTGCCACCCTTTGAGTGGCTTAATCCTTATCAATCAATCAATCAATCAGCAAACCCAGCGCCGCTGTTCTGTTAGAAGGACAGAGTTGTTGCTGTGCATAAAAGGCACAGCAAGTCATCAGCAGAGAATTATGGGCCAATATTCTCGTTTTGAGTCATGGGTAAGATGTTTTGAATCATGGGTAAGATGCTTTGAGTCATGGGTAAGATGCTTTGAGTCATGGGTAAGATGCTTTGAGTCATGGGTAAGATGCTTTGAGTCATGGGGTAAGATGCTTTGAGTCATGGGTAAGATGCTTTGAGTCATGGGTAAGATGTTTTGAGTCATGGGTAAGATGCTTTGAGTCATGGGTAAGATGTTTTGAGTCATGGGGTAAGATGTTTTGAGTCATGGGTAAGATGTTTTGAGTCATGGGTAAGATGTTTTGAGTCATGGGTAAGATGTTTTGAGTCATGGGTAAAATGTTTTGAGTCATGGGTAAGATGTTTTGAATCTTGGGTAAGATGTTTTGAGTCATGGGTAAGATGCTTTGAGTCATGGGTAAGATGTTTTGAGTCAAGGGTAAGATGTTTTGAGTCATGGGTAAGATGTTTTAAGTCATGGGTAAGATGCTTTGAGTCATGGGTAAGATGTTTTGAGTCATGGGTAAGATGTTTTAAGTCATGGGTAAGATGCTTTGAGTCATGGGTAAGATGTTTTGAGTCATGGGGTAAGATGTTTTGAATCTTGGGTAAGATGTTTTGAGTCATAGGTAAGATGTTTTGAGTCATGGGTAAGATGTTTTGACTTATGGGTAAGATGTTTTGAGTCATGGGTACGATGTTTTGAGTCATGGGTAATATGTTTTGAGTCATGGGTAAGATGTTTTGAGTCATATGTAAGATGTTTTGAGTCATGGATAAGATGTTTTGACTTATGGGTAAGATGTTTTGAGTCATGGGTACGATGTTTTGAGTCATGGGTAAGATGTTTTGAGTCATGGGTAAGATGTTTTGAGTCATGGGTAAGATGTTTTGAGTCATGGGTAAGATGCTTTGAGTCATGGGTAAGATGCTTTGAGTCATGGGTAAGATGTTTTGAGTCTTGGGTAAGATGCTTTGAGTCATGGGTAAGATGTTTTGAGTCATGGGTAAGATGTTTTGAGTCATGGGTAAGATGCTTTGATTCATGGGTAAGATGTTTTGAGTCATGGGTAAGATGCTTTGAGTCATGGGTAAGATGTTTTGATTCATGGGTAAGATGTTTTGAGTCATGGGTAAGATGCTTTGAGTCATGGGTAAGATGTTTTGAATCATGGGTAAGATGTTTTGAATCATGGGTAAGATGCTTTGTGTCATGGGTAAGAAGTTTTGAGTAATGGGTAAGATGTTTTGAATCATGGGTAAGATGTTTTGAATCATGGGTAAGATGTTTTGAGTCATGGGTAAGATGTTTGGAAAACTCCTTGTTGAGTCGCTTACACAGCACCTTGATCAAATCTACTTACAAAGAAACAAGTCATTTGCTTTTACAAATAAAAGAAACCCATTAGTTCTGCTCCCGATATGCTTGTGACACGAAAAGTGTATTTACTGGCGCATACCATAGTAAATGATAGTGACGGGAATTCTATGGTGATATGAACATACCATAGAAGTATACCAGAGGGCAGAGTGCTCGGACCACTCCTGTGGAACATCTATTTCGATGATATCCTGAAGCATATACCTGGTTGATACCTGGTTGATGGGGTTCTGGGAGTTCGTCTACTCCCCAAGCCCGGCCCGAGGCCAGGCTCGACTTGTGAGAGTTTGGTCCACCAGGCTGTTGCTTGGAGCGGCCCGCAGGCCCACATACCCACCACAGCCCGGTTGGTCCGGCACTCCTTGGAGGAATATTACCACAAGGGAGTGTCTGTGTCAGGTGATTGTTCACTGATGTTTTAAAGCGACAAGAAGGAAGACGTAAATCACATTAGAGAATCTCTTAAAAACCGTTTTATCTTGGTAAGTTATTGTCACTCCAGACAAAACCTAACTGATGGCCATCTTACGGAGGCTTCAGATACATCATCCTCTCATAAGATAAGAAAACACTGATATACAAATAGTCAATTTCCATATTTCTCCTGCAGAGATGTGTGGTGTTTCGAGTCAAATACTCTAAAAATTTATTTTGTTTATACAAAAATATACAAAAATTTATTTAGGTGGGAGGGCATCTCCAGGATGCTAGGGGGAGGTATAACACTTAATGAAGTCGCAAATCAGGTCTATAATGGAGTACTCAGCACTTAATTTGAACTTGTCAACAATCTTAAGTTGTTAGACCAAATTCAAGATATGTCTGCACTTCAGGTGAGAAGTGAATGTAAGTACCTTATATCTTAAGGTACTTTAGATGAAACTTTAAGAACAAAACTTTAAGGCTATAAGAACCAAGATTTTAAAACGAGACTTTTAGAACAAGATTTTAAGAACAAAAATGCTTAAACGTTCCCACAGACTATCACACAGAAGGTGGTGTATACAGTGTTCTCAAGGTGGTGTATACAGTGTTCTCAAGGTGCTGTATACAGTGTTCTCAAGGTGCTGTAAACAGTGTTCTCAAGGTAGTGTATACAGTGTTCTCAAGGTAGTGTATACAGTGTTCTCAAGGTAGTGTATACAGTGTTCTCAAGGTGGCGTATACAGTGTTCTCAAGGTAGAGTATACAGTGTTCTCAAGGTAGTGTATACAGTGTTCTCAAGGTAGTGTATACAGTGTTCTCAAGGTGCTGTATACAGTGTTCTCAAGGTAGTGTATACAGTGTTCTCAAGGTAGTGTATACAGTGTTCTCAAGGTAGTGTATACAGTGTTCTCAAGGTGGCGTATACAGTGTTCTCAAGGTAGTGTATACAGTGTTCTCAAGGTAGTGTATACAGTGTTCTCAAGGTAGTGTATACAGTGTTCTCAAGGTGCTGTATACAGTGTTCTCAAGGTGGTGTATATAGTGTTCTCAAGGTGCTGTATACAGTGTTCTCAAGGTGCTGTATACAGTGTTCTCAAGGTGCTGTATACAGTGTTCTCAAGGTGCTGTATACAGTGTTCTCAAGGTGCTGTATACAGTGTTCTCAAGGTGCTGTATACAGTGTTCTCAAGGTGCTGTATACAGTGTTCTCAAGGTGCTGTATACAGTGTTCTCAAGGTGCTGTATACAGTGTTCTCAAGGTGGTGTATACAGTGTTCTCAAGGTGCTGTATATAATGTTCTCAAAGTGCTGTCTGTCACGGTCAGTCAAGTGAAGATGAAGTCAGGTGTGATGATGCTGAGTAGAGTGAAGAATGAGGTAAGTAAAGTGAAGGTGAGGAAAGTGAGGTGAAGGTGAGGAAAGTGAGGTGAAGATGAGGAAAGTGAGGTGAAGGTGAGGGAAGTGAGGTGAAGGTGAGGGATGATGAAGTCAGGAAGCCATGTTATAATTTTTGTGTCTGTGGTTGATGTTGGTGTAATTGTTGATGATCTTTGAGTCTCGCTACACCACGGTCATGTCTCCCCTTTGTGAGTGTCTGCCCCCATCAGTGAGGGGTCGTGAGCTGTAGCTCCTGGGCCCCACAATACCTCAAGTGTTTACACACACCTCCACACACTCAAGAACCTTGCCAACTCAAGATCTCCGTCAAGTAAAGTCCCCGCACCCCACAAGCGCCTCATAACCCTTCTTCAAATTTTAAGACGAGAGAAATCTGTGAGAGGTTCACCCAGAGGGCCCCCGCGGGCCCAGACACCCCCCCCCCCCCCCCCGCGGGTCCTAATCATCCAAGACGGGCCCAGACACCCCCCCCCACAGTGGGCCCAGACACCCCCCCCCCCACGGTGGGCCCGGACACCCCCCCCCCACGGTGGGCCCAGACACCCCCCCCCCCACGGTGGGCCCAGACACCCCCCCCCCACGGTGGGCCCAGACACCCCCCCCCCCCCACGGTGGGCCCAGACATGCCAAGGTCCCTCTCTTACTATCCGTGAATGCAGGACTTCCATGAATTAAAAACAAAACAAAAAGTCAATTTATTACCCTCTAAATATTTTAAACTAGCGGGAAATTTGCCGCATGAATTAGTGCATCCATATTTCTTTAACACCATCGTATATCAAACAAAAAAACAACGGCCGTTCGAAACCCATGGAACCCAAGACGATACAAACTCCGGTCCACCTCACTGTTCATGGATCCTGGAAGTCTGTAACTCATAGGCTCGCGGAGTTGTAATCATCAACAGGTCAAATTCCCAAATATACACGACTTGAGAATTTTAAAATAGGCCGGACTTTTAGGCCCTGGAAATGGGCGCCGTTTAGAAGTTAAGGTCAATTCTTAACACTTGGGATTGTACTTACCTAATTGTGCTTGCGGGGGACGAGCTCTGGCTCTTTGGTCCCGCCTCTCAACTGTCAATCAACTGGTGTACAGATTCCTGAGCCTACTGGGCTCTATCATATCTACATTTGAAACTGTGTATGGAGTCAGCCTCCACCACATCACTGCCTAATGCATTCCATTTGTTAACTACTCTGACACTGAAAAAAATTCATTCTAACGTCTCTGTGGCTCATCTGGGAACCAAGTTTCCACCTGTGTCCCCTTGTTCGTGTCCCACCCGTTCTGAAGAGTTTGTCTTTGTCCACCCTGTCAATTCCCTTGAGAATTTTGTAGGTGGTTATCGTGTCTCCCCTTACTCTTCTGTTTTCCAGGGATGTGAGGTTCAGCTCCTTTAGCCTTTCCTCGTAGCTCATTCCTCTCATTGTTGGTCTGTTCCTGTGCATGCGTGGTATACTCAGAGGTGTTAATAGTAATTCATTTAATACCAATTTACGTTATTTGTTATTCATTCACTGAATATATCAACGGGTGATTTGACTCTGTAGGGGGTAATATGTTGCCAAAACCAGTTTCAAACTTGTTCCAATAAACTTTTATATCATTCATGCGTGGAACGCGGGACAAAATTCTTTCAGTAGACCTCTGCGACATGTAATCACACTCAGTAGACATCTACGACATGTAATCACACTCAGTAGACATCTACGACATGTAATTACACTCAGTAGACATCTACGACATGTAATCACACTCAGTAGACATCTACGACATGTAATCACACTCAGTAGACATCTACGACATGTAATCACACTCAGTAGACCTCTACGACATGTAATCACACTCAGTAGACCTCTACGACATGTAATCACACTCAGTAGACCTCTACGACATGTAATCACACTCGGTAGACCTCTACGACATGTAATCACACTCGGTAGACCTCTACGACATGTAATCACACTCGGTAGACCTCTACGACATGTAATCACACTCACTAGACATCTACGACATGTAATCACACTCAGTAGACATCTACGACATGTAATCACACTCAGTAGACCTCTACGACATGTAATCACACTCAGTAGACCTCTACGACATGTAATCACACTCAGTAGACCTCTACGACATGTAATCACACTCAGTAGACCTCTACGACATGTAATCACACTCAGTAGACCTCTACGACATGTAATCACACTCGGTAGACCTCTACGACATGTAATCACACTCACTAGACATCTACGACATGTAATCACACTCAGTAGACATCTACGACATGTAATCACACTCAGTAGACCTCTACGACATGTAATCACACTCAGTAGACCTCTACGACATGTAATCACACTCACTAGTCATCTACGACATGTAATCACACTCAGTAGACCTTTACGACATGTAATCACACTCAGTAGACATCTACGACATGTAATCACACTCAGTAGACCTCTACGACTCACAAACCACTTCTTAGTGCTACCTCTGAATGAGATGTACATCACGAGGGCAACATGTGGGTGGAGGCGCCAGCTTCACAACTCTTCCACCTTGTTTATTTGGTATTAGATGTACCCGGCCACGCATTGCTGTGGCTCAGCAATGCGTGCACGTTGTTTAGCCACAGCAACCCTCCCCCTGTCCTTCCACGTCCTCCCCACCATTCCCCAACTCCCCCGTCCCCTCGTCCTCCCTACCATTCCCCCCTTCGTCTCATCCTCCCCATTATCCCCCACTCCCCTATACCCCTTGTCCTCCCCACCATTCCCAACTCCCCTATCTCCTTGTCCTTCTCACCATACCCCACTCCCTCGTCCGATGCATTACCAAATGCAAATGGGAATCTGATGTTCCCATTAGAAAAATGGGAATATCATATAATCTGATGTTCTTATCACTGAAAATTAAGAACAGTTAACAAACGAAATGAAAAACAATGAAAAATTAAAAAATAATAAACTATACTCGCAAAATAAACGGTATGGTAAGCAACACAGCTCAATTCCAACGCAATGCCACACAAAATAATTCAATCAAAATGAAAATAAATCAAAATCTATGAAAATTCAATTTATCAATGCAATTGGAAACATTGAAATTGAATTGTAACATATTTACTATAGCGTGTGTGTTGCTTTTACGT